AAATTAGGAGCGAGCGACTGAAGGCTAAGAATCTTTTTCAAATTTATTTCAAGAAGGTTTTAAATAATTTCTAAAAGATTAATTTGTAACAAAAGCTCCAATGTAAGAAACGAACAAAGAAATATGAAATACTATACACATTCTATTAATAAAAAACAGTTCTTCTTTAAATTTTAGAGATTCAGATTTATTTACACTTATACATAATTTTGAACATCATTATACGTTGGCGTGACGTATTGGCTACTACCTTTTAGCCATCTTCAGACATCTAGTTTAAAGAAAAACATATGCACATTTATATGTAGATGTAGTATGCACAAGTATAATGTAGTTTATTAAAATCACTATTATGTATGTCAATAAATTTGAATGTCTAAAATTTCAAGAAGAACTGTTTTTATTAAAAGTCTATAGATATTCATCAAGAGAAGTGAAAAGTTTATAAACATTCTAAATTGCGTAGCATCCAACTCCCTCGAAACACCTAAAATCACGTTAAAGAAACGCAGTATTTTCAGAGCGGGCGAATTTGAAGCCAAATGACTCCAATAATACTCATATCGTCGAAAAATTCAACATGATCTTATTTCTAAAACTGTTTTGATGAACACGTTTTATTAAGAAAAAATATCGTCATAATTGTAGTTGGAGGACACCGAAAAATTTTAGGATGTTTTCAATGGTAAAAAAATGTGGGTTTTCAAACAACATGAGACCTGCAGCATTTTCTTAAATGTCCTTCGGACTATACACAAACAAAATTTCGTCAACAATGATGGAGCCGTTTTTGAGAAAAAAATATTTAAACAAAAATTACAAATTGCCTATATTTCACGCAACATTTTGCAAATAATTCTCAAATTTTCAAAAAATTGTATATGACCTTTCTTATAATCTATCTTAAAAAAACAGATTTCACTAAGGGAAAAATCTCTATCTTTAATATTTTAGTTGTAGGAAATAGTTTGATTTTTTTTTCAATTTTCAAAAAATCAGTATTTTTAACGAACATGAGACCTGCGCCATTCTCTTAAACGTCCTTCAGACGATCCAACAACATTTCATCAAAATCGATGGCGCCATTTCTTTCAAAAGTTTGAAAATGTCCCAGGGGCGTTGTGTAAAGTAACCCCCAAAATTGAAATATCGGTTTCTAATTCAAGGAGCCGCGACATCAATCAGATCGATTTGGGAACATCAATTTTGGAGAAAGTTGGCTGGACGGTTTAGCCGCTAGTGTTGACGGACAGGCTGAAAGACAGTTTTGCCGTCAATCAATTTTTCGGTATCAAGGACCGTCAAAACAGGTATTCTATGTACGTTTGATGTTAGAGGACTTTTTCTAAATTTGCCATCTGGATGTATCCACTTTTTCGTTACCAGGACTCTGTAATAAAAGTTTTTCAGCCGAAATTTCGCCGTTTTTTCGTGCAGCATTACATAACGTTTTCAACTTAACAAATTCCTTCGAACGAAAATTCAGGTGGAACTATCCGGCACAAACGATTTACAATTTTTCCGATTTTTTTACGATGGTGTCGGTGCCAGTGTGAAGTTGGCACCTCCTCAATAGAAAGTGCTGTAGCTTGTAAACTGTTTTGGTACAAACGAATGTTTCCCTGGTAAAAAAATGGCTACAAACGAATGGTAATGGTTTCAGTGGTTTATGCTGTGGTGGAGGTGCCAACTTCACGGTCCTGTGCTTGGGGGACATGCAAACTCCAAAATTGATAGTCCCCAATCGATATGGCTGATGTCGCGGACACTTGTATAAAAATTAGGCAATGTTAAATTTTTCGAAATTATGAGTATTTTTTTGCGAAATTTTGTGTTAAACATAGACAATTTTTATTTTCTTTAAACCACTTGTTCTTAAAAACAGTACAATAATTTTTTTATTAAATTTGGATTTTAGATAGCGTAAAGGACGTTTAATAGATTGGTGTTGGTATAATGTTCATTAAAATGACTGATTTTTCGTAAATTAAAAAAATTAAAATTTTTTCGGCGTCTTCCTGCACCTACAATAATAAAGATACAATTTGCTTGTTAATGAAATGTGTTCATCAAAACATAAGGTGATGCTGAATTTACGAAAATATGAACACTTGTGTAATTTGGCATCAAGCATAGTCGCTCGCTTCGAATTGTCTGCGCTTCGTGAACATAGTTAGAGAGGTATTTGGAGGCTATTGCTATTCCCTCAAAAGAAAGTAGATTGAAGAATGGTAATACATTTAACTTAGAAATAACGAACAGTCTTCTTTAGTTAAAAAAAATTGTTCGCTGATTGTAGTATGCTGTATTTGTAAAAGTTAGAAATTACTACTGTTTATGACTGTCGAAATAAACAGAGGTATTTACTGCAGGCGCTTCGTTTGAAATGGTTGGGTGTGAATTATATTAGCATTATTTCTAATACATTGCGTAAAAGAAAGATTGAAACATCGAGTAACGTAAATTTGTATGAACATTTTAATTTCATGTTACAAAGTATTCTGACTCGGGGAGCAATACTGCGATGCAAATATGAGAAGTCCAATGTTGAACGGCGACAAGATAAAATTATGACATTCTTTTGATTTCGTCTCTTCGTTGAACATTGACTTGGGATCATTATGAGGCCTTGTTTTATTTATATTTATTATTTAACGTTAAAAATAGAAAAATCTGAGTGTGGCGTACAATGGGGAGAAATGTTTTACATGAAAGTTTTCTTGAATTCAGGTATCCCTACCCTAACACACGCACATGTTGGATTATGAATGCAGTTGGAAATGAAATGTTTGTTCTTCGGTTAGTAAAGAGAATTTGGGGAAATACTCTTAGGTGTGAAAACGTATAAAGCATTTAGCATTACTTGTTCATACCAGACGTAACTTGTAATTCGTTGTTCATTTAAAATAAAATGAAACATTTAAGAACGAACTAGGAGCGTTTTGGAGACACGGCGAAAAATAATTTTAACGTTTACTAGTTCATTGCTGTGTGTTTCTAAACATGAAAAAATGGAGTGTTGGCAATACCCTTGCGGACCTTTCTGAATTTTGATACCAACGCGAGCATTTGAATACTTAATGCCCGCTCTGATACCAACCCAACAAATACATCCTATTTATGAATTTGATTTATTAAAGTTAAGAGACAAGAAAATACAATAAATAAAAGGTATAGTGCTCAAATAAGTAAAATAATTGGTTATAAACATAATTTTGCGTAACTGATATGCGATAAAACATTACATAACCGTTACTAAGGGGGCGAGAGAGTATGTGCTGTTTTAGCCCCCCATGTTTTTTTCATTTGTCGAGGGATGAGTGACGACTGAAATGTTGGTAGGATAGAAAGGGTACCGCTGATTCTATTCGCACATTTAATGGGATGTGTTATTCAAGTGCTTGAGTCGCTAGAATTTATTTGTTATATTTTAATTAATTAGGGCCTTTTGTGCATCTGGAAATGTCAGGGGAAATTACTAATGGACTGGGGAAAACGTAGACGTGGAGTAACAGAGTTCCCCATAGGTTACATTATGGATTGATTTTCTCGTAATTTAACTAGTTAATTAGTGCCGTAAGTGTAGTACATGTTTTGTCACGGAAATTGGCTCTGTTCTTTCCCGCTGGATTGTTCGATCGGGCGCCGACTTACTCGTCGGCTTGCGAGATTTTCCCTCGTTCAGGTATCTCCCACCAGTAGAGCACCGCACAATGGGAACAAGGAGGCTTAAGCTCCAAATAGTTGTTGTAGTGTAACGTGTGGGAAGTGAAGATCCGTTGCCGTTTGTAATGTTTCTGCACTGGCATTCGCTTGGTGTTGATCGGAGAATCCAGGGAAAGCTACCGATCAGAGCAGCCGGCCGCTAGAATTCTCTTCCCGACAGCGATTAGCGATTGAATTCGACCTAGCTATTTTTGCTAGTGTCGGAAACCCTGTCACGGTCCGGACTCGAACCTAGGACCTCCCGCTCACAGGCAGATTACCTTATTACTAAGCTGCGGATTTATTTGCAACAAATACTAAAAATAGGCAGGCAAAATAGGTATTTAATTTCAAGTAGAAATTACCACTCATTTTTCTAAAAAAATATGCATGACCTTTTTTAAAGATAAGATTGTTTTAGAACATATTTCATTTAAGACAAAAATCATTGTATTCAGTATTTTATTTTTGTAGTGAAAAAAATTCTTTTCCCATTTCTTTGACAAAAATAAAAATATAAAATTTAACACTAAATGAAATTCTTCTCCAAAAAAATTCGTCTTTTACACCGGCAAATACGGCAAGTAGCTTTCTCGAACACCTCCATCTGGTGAACTACTTGTGAAACTAGAAAGCCTAGACATTGAATTGAATTGTTGCCTTATTTTCCGTGGCGGGACTCAGGCTTTTAGACCTGCTCTTCCGTTTGACCACCCAAATTTCGCTACGCTCCTTTAACCAACTAGCGGAGAAAGGAGGTATTTCTTTGGCGACGAAACAGACGATTGGAATTTAGCTCAGAGGCTTCATTTTGGCTTGAGGGTCTTTTACGTGCAATGAATCTACTGACATGGGACAGCCGGCTTTACTTTCCCTCCGAAGTAAGGCGTACGAAGGATTTTTTTGCCCTAAAAAAATCAACGGCTTCGATCGGGTTTGAACCCGCCAACTTGGGTATAACAGTCCGATATGATGGCCGTTATACCATTGCCACTACTAACTTTACATTACATGTTAGGTGCTAGGACATTAGGTGTTGTCCGTCGGCGACTTCCCGGCTTGGCGGCGGAATACGTGGCATCCACCATCCCCACTTGGCTTCCACCATCCCCACTTGGCTTCCACCATCGCTAGTTTCAGCCAGTACATGACTGATAGATTCGCCCCAAAATTTTCGTTGTCTCTGCGAGAAATTATGCAACGTCTCTCCTTCGAAAATATGTTTATGGTGCATATGTATTCCTATGGTGTTAAATTATTAGTTTGTGATCGAGTTTTATAATCTTTGTTTCCAGGAACCGGTAAACCGCAGCCATGACGTCGGAGAGCGGATGGGATGAGGAGAGATTGCTGCAACGATTGATCGAGGAAGCCAAGAGACTCAACATCCAAGAGACCTCGCGCCTGCAGGATCAGGAGGCGGTGCGCCTGCAGGTGGAAGAGGCGGTGCGCCTTCAGATCGAGGAGGCGGTGCGCCAGCAGCTCCAAGACGCCGTGCGCCAGCAGATCCACGAGGCGGTGCGCCTGCAGCTCGAGGAGGCGGTGCGCCAGCAGCTCCAGGAGGCGGTGCGCCGGCAGGTGGACGAGGCGGTGCGCCTGCGCATCCAGGAGGGCGTGAGCCTGCCGTTCCAGGAGGCGGTGCGCCTGCAGGTCCAGGAGGCGCTGTGGCAGCAGGACACGAGCGCGCGGTGAACAGGCTGTCGCCTTCCGCCGCTGCGGGAAGCGCAGCGCCTGCAGGAGGGGTCGTGGATGCACGAGGCGGCGCGCGCCCACGTGCGCGAGGCCCTGCGCCTGCAGGAGCAGCAGGCCGAGCGCCGGGCGCTGGAGGCCGAGCGCGTGCACGTGGAGGAGCGGCTGCGCCTGCACGAGCAGCAATACTGGCGCGGGGCGGAGGAGGCGTGGCGCGTGGGCATGGAGATGCACTTGGCGCCGCGGGGCGAAATGGTCATCTGGAAGTCCGCGCGCGTGGGCGACGAGAACGCCTTGGAGGTGTGCCAGCTGGAGCAGGAGGTGCGCCGCCGGGACGCGGTCATCGGCGACCTCCGCGCCGTCCTGAACGAGCGCGTGCGCAGGTGGAGAGGAGATGTTGGTGGCCGAGGGCCGGGCGTGAGGTGTCTGGGAGAGGGCGCGGCGCCCGGGCGACGGACAGCGACGGCAGCGGGGAGATGAGGGCGAGTGACGCTGGTGGACGACGCCGACCGGACAGGCGATGGCGGGCGTGGAGAGGCGATGTGTGCTCGTCGGAGATGATGGGAATCGAGGAGGCGAGAGGGACATGCTCAGCGGGATCACGAGGCCTTCGAAGGAACCTCGCAGGGCGTGTCCCCATGCCGCACGGACCGCCGCCCAGTCGGCTTGCTCCCCCCGCCGCGTCGCCGTCGCCCCGGACGTGACCGCACCTGTATGGGCCGCCGCAACTGCCGCGCCGCCGCATCCCCCGGACGGTCCTCACCCTCGGCGACAGTCGCCATCTGCCGCCGCGCCGTCCCCCCGGACGTGACCGCACCTGTATGGGCCGCCGCCCAGCTGCCGCCCGCCGCCATCGCCCCGGACGGTCGTCAGCCTCGGCGACCGTCGCCCACCTGGCCGGCCGCCCCGGTCGCGCCGGTTGTGACCTCCCCGCTCGTGAAGTTGAAGATCCGCATCGCGAAACTGCAGAAGAGAGCGCGGAAAGCCACTTTCCCCGAAGTCAAGCTGTGCAAGTCGGCGTTGTTCGGGAAAGTGGAGACGGTTCGCCAGCTGTTGGATTGCAAGGTGGACGTGAACTGCGTGAGCCACCAGGCACACTCTCCTTTGATATCGGCGCTGTACTTCAACGGGTGGATGACGGGCGATCGGGAACGTCACCTCGTGCTGGGTCTGCTTCTCGAACGACGCGCGGACGTGGACGCTGTCGAAACGCACGGCTACTCCCCGCTGCACCTGGCCGCGATCTACGAGTCCGTGTACGGCTCGGTGCAGCTGCTGATCGACGCCGGGGCCGACGTGAACGCCAGGGACTTGACAGGGTGCACGCCCTTGCACACGGCGGCGGTGCACGGGAACGCGGTGGCCGCGCAGGCGCTGCTCGCGGCCGGCGCCGACAGGACTGCGCGGGGGTGGGTGGACCAGTGGAAGGACATGACGCCCTTCGACGTCGCCAGGACTCTCCCCCGTTCGGGAGTCTCGCGTTGAGGTTCGTTCGCGTGAGTCTACGGCACGGCGAGAAAGACGCGGGATGTCATTATATTATAGTGAATAGTACCGCATTGAAGCGTACGTCACAATACTAATATAATATATATATCATATATATATATATATATATATAATATATCTATATATATATTATTGTGACGTACATTCAGTCAGGTAATCATCACAACTACCATTTATTTTTAGAAGGGACAGGTGTCTTGGTTTGTGAATGGGCTTCTGAGGGTTTGACGGGAACATAAGAAAAACTTAATTATCAGTTTCTTTAAACAAACAAACAATTTATTACTAAAACCACAAATTGTGTGCTGCCTAATCTAATACTTCCCGTTTTGGTACCAAAACTATACCTATGAGCTCAAATTACACAATACCTTGAATGCCATAAATCGTTCGTTTCTTCTCGGATGCTCCCCGGCGGCATCGGCGGCCTTCGGCGCGACGTGGGAATGCGACATAAGGGCGCCTTCCCACGGCGCGACCGCGGCGCGCTTCTGTCAAGCAGCAGAGCCCTTCCGACGCCGCCACAGCCACGGCCGCACCGCCGCCCGCCGTGGAAGGGGGTGGGTTCTGCTGGGGTAGGTTTCGCCGACCGTTCGTCCGGAAGACGAACTAAGTGACCGCGGCAGATAAAGCGCCGCGACCGACGGCGCAGTGGGAAGACCACCATTTAAAGCTGTGTTCTGCTAGCGGTGGCGCGTATGCGCTGCTCGTGGCGAGGCTGCGTCGCCGAAAGCCGCATCAACGTGAATTCGGAAATACATTTTTCCGCCATTCAGCCCGGAAATACATTTTTGAAGCAAAAAGTGTAAACATCGCGACCCTTTTCTTTTTGTTTCAAAATAACTCAAAAGCCACACACTTTTTTAAAGATCCTATTTGAAATAAAAGAGGATTAAATTAGCTAGATTTAATTTTGTTAAGCTTTTTCTCCAACTAGCGGATTAGCTGCGAGAGAATCGCGCTATTTGGTGATATAACTGAAACTTAAAAAAACGAGAAATTTCCCATTTCATGCCAATATATTTTAAAAACTATCCGTTTTTCGTAAATATTAATGTGAAATGAAAGAAGGTGAAACTACATTTTATGTGTTCATCTAGGAACAAAGTTAGAGGCGTTAGTATGCAAAACCCGCCAGAACTGTGAAAATGGTATCCACTTAATCTCGCTCACATACATAATTTGCATCCAAGAATTGTGCCTTGTGAGTAGTTTACATTTCAATTTTCCCCCTTTTTTCATATATTGCGCCACGCTATAGTTTTCTACACAGGATCAGCAACCAGCTTCTTGTAGTATGATAGGGCATATAGAAACTATTTCGGATTGTCTGTATCATCTTGGAATCATGTTACAATTTCTTTAGTGCGCCGTTGATTTTTACATATTTCTTGTTAATACTATACCGGATATAATTTTACACTTTGGATTTGTATAATGATTTGTCTTGTTTTTTTCATTTTGTTCATGTCAAATACGAAAAGATCATGAATGTCTCCGAATCCTTTGAAATGTAGAATGGAACCTTCTACTACTTTGACAGTTCTATTACCAACTTGTTTCGAATACTATTAATGATTAGGATGTTATGAACAAAAGAGAACCGAATATTACCAACTTCGTATTCTTGCCTACTGGACATTTTTGTGGTCATTGTTTAGTGAACTTTGTTTGAGCCACGTTTGCTGGGAACTTTCTATTCAATAGACATTCAGTAAACTTCAGGGCTTGGATATTTTTGCCGGCTTGATCATTTTGTTTACTTGTCGTTATCTCGTGAGCCCAATGACCCGACAGATTTTGTGATACCAGCGCCCCGATCTTACTGTTACATCGCCCTGGGCAAAACGAAAAAAAATTAATTTTTAGTAATAAAAGAAAATATTTTGTAATAATAAAATAGTTTTTATTTTCAATAACAAATAATTTTATTTAAATTTTAGTAAAAAGCATATACGATATATTTAGAAAGTAACACGTAACACCGTAATATCGACAACCATATAGTACAAAACAATGCAAATTAATTAAGAGATATCTGTACATAGTCAAGAATAGTTACCTGTATATTTTATACATTATTAAATGCTATTAAAAAGAACAATATTGTACAAACAATAGCATTGTTTTGAAAACAAAAAAAGTTAGAATCAACTACGCGAAAATCACAAAAAAACTTCTTTTTCGCATTATAAGTTCTTTTAAATATGTTTAATATGACTTTTAAATATATTTGTTCAGCAATTTCATGTTCAATTGTCGAAATGGGCCAAATCATTTAAGATATATATGTGTAGTAGTAGAAAGTAAAAAGTTATTTACTTTTAACTTAGAGATAAAGTCATTTCGCCACTTGCTATGGTTATTGGTAGGGAACGGATTTTCATGTAAATACATATTGCTTAATTCAAAAATATATTTTTTAGAGTTTACAGAACATTATGAACTATTTTTATTTTGCATATTTCTAAATATTTTGATATAAATATATAATTTACCTATTACTATATATTTCGTTACATTTTAATATATTTATACGTAAAAGCAGAATCACAGTTGAATATATTTTAAATTCTTATGGTTTTATTAACATTTCTTTAGACAAGATTTTTAAGTTGTGTATTATATAAAAATTCAAAATAGTTACTCTAGTTACTAAGTTGATCAAATCTAGCATCTGGAGCATTTGAAGCTCGATCGATTGTAAAACAAAAGAAATCTGTTTCGTAATTTTCTTTTAGATCTTCGATCGGTTGATCGCGTTCTTCGTATAAGTTACTTTTCCTTTTAAACAGTATCGTGTTATTATTGATCAAAAATATTTCACCACGTAAATTTTGTAGCAAATTATTTTGCATTAGTAATAGTTTCATTAAAGGATGAATCCGATCGAAGATTCTTGAAAAATATTTTGCAGTTTTGTAAAACATCAAGTGCAGGGGCTAGATCAAAATATTGTGTTTGCATCAACTTGCTTATTAGCTTAACGCAATTTGGTATTTTCTACTAAATAACTAATAAACAAGAAGTGTTTATTTGTTTAAAATTGTATAATACTATTTAATAAATCTGAGGTTTGTCTCATATTGAATTATGCATTTCTTGTTTTTTGTAAATGGTTAGTGAGACGTTTATATCTCCTAAATGGAATTGCAAAGATTTTAGGGTATCTATCCTACTGTACCATCCTGTGTCACTCTATGGTATGGCCACACTTGGGTTTTGTGATAGCTTAACGCACACGCATAACTTTGAAACCGTGAATATGTTTTAACAGTATTGCCCATCGAAAAATAATGAAGACAAAGTTGTATAAAGTAGAAAGAATAAAGTTTAAAGTTGTCCAAGAGTTAAATTGTGTAATTAAAGTATGCATAAAAATGATATTTATGGTATATTTTGATTTTTATGCCACCTTAGAGTAATTGCAATTGAAAAGTATATAAATGA